ATATTTTTTTTGTTTTAGATTTTACCTCTAAAATTCATATTTTCCCTCTATTTGGCAAGCGTATAACGCACAAAAAATTCAATTTACAACAATATTACAAAACGGCGATAGGATGCACCCATCACAAGTGTTGTCATTATTCCTGCTTTATGACAGCAATAACTTACTAGGAAACGTGAATGACCTTTTAAAACATTTAAAAAAAAAGCCCTGTCCGAACTTTATAATACAGAAACAGTAATAAAATCATCTTTACTTCAATCTGTGTAGGGATATTAAACAGGAAATTCGTAAAATCCCAACTGGTTAATGAATCATGGGGCGTTAACTACTAACCGAAAATTGTTTACAACGTCGAAAAATCCTTTTTAAACGTGATAGAAGGATGGTAATTTAATTAAACTCTTAACTTGTCGGATTGAGAAGGATTAAATTTGCATAATTTAAATCCTTTTCGAGTCTAACTGATGGAAAATTAATTAAATAAATAAATAAATAATAAAACACTTGACAGAAATTAAGGATATTCTTACTTTCAACTGTCCATTCCAACTTTCTAAACTGAAATTTACATTTTGTTTCTATTTTAATTGTTTAATTTCTGTTTCTGCTTAATTATTATTAAACAAATTGATCAATTGCACAAATAAAAATGCATTAGTTACTATAGAAACGGAATTAATACATTGTTTAATTGTTTAATAATAAAAAAATACAACAATGAGTTGCGTAACTTTCCCGGCCAAACATTAAAATTGTATGCTGCGCCACCCTGTTATGAGATTTTATTTATAATTTTGTATATTATTAATTATTACAAAATTGTGAAAGGTTTCATTTTCACGGTAGAGATGAGTTTTATATTAAAAAAAAAACAAATCGTAAATACTAATAACCACACTCGAGATATTACACGTGACCCTCTCTATCTTCCCACCCCCTTGACCTTTAACCACCAAAATTTAACAGCATTAATGCCCTTAATACACAAACCTCCCTGCAAAATTTCAGAAATTTTCAGCAAAAAGCTTTAAAGTTATTAAGCTTCAAAGTGGTTGAACAGAATCGTCCCCCTCACAAACACATACTGAAAAATTCCCCAAATTTCTTTGTATTTCTCGACGTTTAAAGGTCCTTAAGTGCAAAAATGTTCAGTTTAAGAAAAAAAAAAAAAAAAAACAAATCTTAATTTCGTAACAATTAAACAATATGTTAATTTTCTTTATGTTAATTAACTAATTAATTTTTTATTCGTGCAATTGACTATTTTTGTTTAACAATTAAATACAGATAAGAAATTAACATGTGATTTAATTGTTTAAAAAAATAATCAATTACAGAAACAGAAATTAATTAATTTACGTGTTGATTTTGTTTATTATTACGTAACAGATTAATTTCTATTTCTGAAACTGAACACTTATTTTTTTTTTAATTTATTGAACAGATGGTAAATTAACACGTGATTTAATTGTTTTAAAAAATAATCAATTGCAAAATTAATCATTTTACGTATAAAATTAACGTGTTAATTTATTTAAATATGTAAAATTGAACACTTAATGGACAATTAAATAACTTGTTAATTACTCAATAAAATGTTCAATTATAAAAACAGAAATGAATTAATTTATGTAATTAATTAATTTATGTTTCTACAATCGATTATTTTATTTAATTTTTTGAAACAAATTATTTATTTTTTTAAATCTAAATTAACTTTTTAAATCGTTGAACATAGATTATTCTCAGTAATGTAAGAGAATAAAATACACGACGTAGAAAGGGAGGAAAAAAAGAACATAAATCGCCTCTTCAATTGCTTATTTAATGGTCTCTTTAGCTTCTCGGTCACGTTAGATTATAAAATTAAGTAAATTTACCAGAACTTAATTAACTACAAGAGACTTTAATTCTGTTTGGAGTGGGAGAAAAATAATGGTTTAGTTTATTTGTGCACTCTTCTTTACTGGATAGTGCTACGTAGGTTAATTCTCTATTAGACGGATAGACAACCTGACATTCTTTCTACTGTGTTTATGCAGTGAAGAAGAATGCACAAGTCAATATTTGAACGAGGACATCAAAATTCTAGTATAAAAAAAACAAAGAAAAAAGTGATCTGAACACAACCTACTTGTCATAAAATAACATGACAACCTTAACGATCGTAATTCTTCAAATATTTTCCCTTAATTTTTATTTAAACAATATAAAAAAATAATAATAATAATAAGGAAAACTATTAATAGCCTAATAGCCTATTAACCTAATAAACGTTGATAATAATTATTAATTTTAATTATTTTATGAATATTTTTTGCGCTATTTTTTAAATTAAATACACAAAAGACAGTTCAATGAGTTATATTGTTCTGATTTTCTATAGAAAGCAGACAAACAGACGTTCGAAATTTCTATATATATATATATATTNTGATAATAATTATTAATTTTAATTATTTTATGAATATTTTTTGCGCTATTTTTTAAATTAAATACACAAAAGACAGTTCAATGAGTTATATTGTTCTGATTTTCTATAGAAAGCAGACAAACAGACGTTCGAAATTTCTATATATATATATATATTTTTTTTTTTTTTATTATTTACAGACAATATAAACAATATAATTTTCAAGTTCTTTCATTTATTTTCTGTAAATATTAATTTATATCTGTGTATATTGAACATTGAACTGTGTTTAATAAATAATTGTAATAAGTATAACATTAGTTTGTCTGTCAGTAGAGATTTATAAAATATAGAAAGCTGAGTTCTTTTTTTTATATTCCAATAACAATGTTCTATATATGTTAATTATTTACACGAACAGACAACCCAACGTTCCGTTTAGTGAATTTTTTTTTTAAAAAAAAAAGACAATCTAACTTTCTATATTTTATGATTCTTCGCTGACAGACAGACAAACTAACGCTCTGTTTATTTATAGTTATCTGTTAATCTGTAAGCCAACGTTCAACACCTATATAAACACTAAGTATTGTTTTTCATACTAAAATAGATGAAAATATTTGTTTCAATTAAAAATTATAATATAAAGTACGTCCGGTTGTTTGTCTGTTTCCAAAAATATATACATATTTACATTTAAACAAGGCAAATATTATATTTTTCTATTCAAACAAATAAGTTTTTCGTTTTTTTTTAAATAGTTTAATATATAAAACAGCAAACAAAAAATCAAATATTGAAAGCCTTTATGAGACAGACAGACAGACAGACATGTTACAAGTTATAGTAAACACACAATACACGCTCACTTCTCGATCACTATTATCAACGTAAGTAGACAATATAACTCATTATATATTATAATTTTAAGGACAGACAAACTGACGCTCCAGCTACAAATTACTACATAAATAAGAACTCGATAAGTGTCATTGGTTCAGCATGACAGAGAAAAGGGGATTTTTAAAGGATTATTATTATTATTTATTTTTTTTCCTCCTCCTCCCCTTCTCTTAATAATAATTGATAATTCTTTAAGTTAATTACTTCTTAATATTACACTTCCTCGTTTAGAATTCTCACTATCGAAGCGTGAGAAAAAACAATAATTTATTCAACCCCCCCTTTTTCCAATAACGTCACATGACCCCGCTATTGTCGTTTTACATGCACAAATAGCACCATTACGGTTCCGAAAACACAGGGATATATCAGTAACTGGCGTGTGCAATAGCAATTCTATACAGAAACAATATATAAATAAAAAAAATGGCCTATGTAATCTGTATATCTGTCTGTCTGTAGCCCATTCGAGGCCTCTATATATTAAAGGTTGTATAGCACTCCTCGCTCTGCTTATAAAAGAAGGTCGACGTCAGGTGTGTTTCGTGAGAAGCCTGGGAATTTTCTCGTCCCCCCCTCTTCTTTATACAGAGCCCACTTTCAAAATGGGGGGGACTGCACGACTCATCTGGGGAGCCTCTTCTAGTTTAGAGGGTCGAAAAAGTAGTCTAGTAGTTGGGCAGTTGGGAGGGGGGAAGGGTATTTTTTCATCTCTTTCGAGTGTCTGAAATGGAATATAGCTTATTGGTGACATACAGAGATGGAAACAGCATAGATAATGGTTCATTCTTCACGCTTTCAAGGACGTCTGTGCGGCTGTATTGAATTTTTAATATTGTGCAACCATGCGGTCTTTTGGGCCATATTCAAAGATGCAGAAAGATTTTGACTATTGGCACAATTTTTATCGCCGCTTTCTAACGTTTTACCCTAACATTTCTCTGTTATAGAACAGGTTTTCGCCTGTCTGGAGTAGGGTTTATCTCGATTAAAATCTAACAGAACTGTTATCTGGAGAGCGTTAGAAAACCGTTCTAGCATCTAAAAAAATAATATATATTCTAGCATCAAACGGCAACTAAAACAATGATTATTTGGGTCGAAATTCTTTTATTTGTCTATCACTAGTCGACACCCATCGTTAATTACGAATAAAATCCGTAACAATGTCCCGCTAATAATACAAGTAGAGCATCAAACTATTTAAACTATTCTTCTATTGGATCCCCTTTAAAAAAAAATCCCTAAAATGTTCTACGTGTAATATACTAAAATAAATCCTTAAAACTGTCCAAATATTCAATAAAATTCATCATAAAACTAGTCTAATCCCATAATAAAAATCACGTAAAAGTGTTCTACAATATAACACAGTAAAGTATTAATAACAGTGCTTTAAAATCCCCCAAAATCATATAAAATTTATTAATAAATCACCGTAAAAATTCCCTACAAACCGTCTAAAAACGTTTACCTATTGTATAGATAAATTCCCTAAAAACCCTAAATAAAAAAAAACACACACAAAAAACCCCCCCCTCCCTCCAAAATTCCACACTCGACTCAGAAAATTCACAGTTAATTTAAAATAATAATAATAAGAATAAGAATAATAAGAGGAGAGATTTAAATAATTAATAAAATAGAGAAGAAAGAAAAATTACAATTAAAAAAAACTAACCTTTTTCCCCTTCCAATATTGTCGATCTCGACATGACGAAAGTTGTATACTGGAGCCATGCTTATGTCCAACGTTCGTCCTGTAGAACGTAGAAACGTATGAGTAAGAAGTAGGCAATAGGCGCGCTACACAATAACTAGCCAGCTGCTAAAGCTGCCTATAAGCCGTGTAGACAGTCAGGAAACCTTTAAATGGCCACACAACACCTGCATCCTGGGTAGTTGAGGCCTCCGAGCATTCTTTAACCAACCGTGACATATAGACAATATTAAGTCGCCTTCTCTACAATTTTTTTATTTTTTAATTTTATTTTTAAAAGTAAATGTTTATACGAGGTCAATACACTACATTTTCTCTACATTTCTTTGATTAATTACAGGTTTTTTTTTTTTTTTGGAAGTTTACTATAGATTTTTACTAATTTTCTTCGATACAGATAAGCGCTATCTGTTAAGCGTATTGTGTAATACACTGCTTTAACCGTTAAACGATTGTTTAAAAATTAACACTTAAAACTAGTGTCTGGGGTCGTATTTTAGTGTTAAATTCGTATTATTTTTGGTGGATTTTTACATCGTTTTATGGGAACAGGTGTCAGGTGTGTAATCACTACAAACACTAGGCTTTATATAAACACACTTAGCAACGTTTACAGCTAAAAACGCGACCGTACACAAGCGAAATTTAATTTTAAAACAATAGATTTAATGGCCGTAACGCTAGCTCTAAACGTTACAAAGTGCCGTTATTTTAGGGGTGTATATATATATATATACTACTCGATCAATTGTAATAAGAATAAAAGACACGTAAGAGTATATAATATACCTCTTTTTTTCTGTGCTTTATGCTCTGGCATGTTGCTTATTTTTTTTTAAGCCCAAGATAACAGACGAAAGCCGGATACACTGTGCTGTAGTAGAGAGGGAGTTGTGTTATGCTGTTGCAACAGAGCTCGGCCTTCTACATACCTGAAAACTCAGATCTTCCGGTGTAGCACGCAGAACGTTTTAAACACGTGGCATGCCTCACCTGGCATATCTGTGAAAGGCGCGTGTTGACCACACCAGATCTTAACAGAAGATATATCTGACGACCCGGCCTACGAGAGGGTCGACAGTAGCTGAGGTTGTTGCACTCGACTTATCGACGAGCGCTACCGCACTGCAGAAGCCCAGCGTGACGTCACAGGAGCCGAATTGATTTTTGTTGTTCTCCACAAACTATTGGCTAGAACCTCTCACAAGCGCACACACACCACACACACAAAAAAAAAAAGTGGGATCGGTAATGAAGGGTAAGAACACGCAAAATCTTCATCACGTGCACTTGTTTCCGAATAATGTGGGCGTATAAACTCTTAAAGATGTATATTAAGTTTTCATTGCCTTATTATCTACTTTCCTAAACCCCCTACTGTATTTAAAAACCGTATATTGATTATCGATTCTGTATATTGTCCCTCACCTACATATGTCTAACGCATAGATTAATACAGGTGAGAGGGGGATAGCTCGCGTGATTATCGACATTCTATCTAACATATACGTGGGGTGTAACGAGATACCATCTTTTTAAATGCTGTAAAACTTATTAAAACGTATTGTTTTTCTACACCAATATACCAATTTCGACTTCCACGTACAAGTAACCGATAAGCAGAACAGTAGGGAAGTAACACAAGTTTCAATTTCCTTGGATAATTTGTAGGGGGGGGAAACCAGCAAATTTCCTCGTTTAATAAGTAAATTTTACTAGAAATTACAAGATTTTTAGTAGAATTTTTTACTAGAATAGTGGCACAATCATTTGACTCTGTAACAGATTCTCTTATCAAGAAATGAGACACACTTATCAGCTATTGCAGTAAATTATGTGATAATGGGATATACAGATTCCAGTTGTGTCTAGTGGATTTTAGTGTGATATCTAGTAGATTTTAGCTGCAATTAGAAAAAATATTCTAGTTATTTCTAATGCATTCTAGCTCTAAAACACTTCAGCAGAATTTTAACAATGTTTTAGAGATTCTAGAGATGTTTAGAATATGCTAGATACCGCTAAAATTGTCTAGAATCTAGAGGATTTTAGTAGTATCTTAATAGATTCTGGATGTAAATATCAATAGAAAATTCTAGTAGTATATAGTGCATTCTAATTATAGAACATTTAAGTTGTTTCTAGGGATTTTATTAATATCTAGAATCCTCTACATTCTAGAGGATTTAGTGGTATATAGTAGATTCTAGCATTAATTAGAAAATCTATTCTATTAATATCTAATGCATTCTAGTTTCTACATTACGTTAGTAATATTTTAATATATTCTAACAATATCTAGAAGATTCTAGAGTAACTAGAATCCACTAGATACCACTAGAATCCTCTAGAATTTAGAGAATTCTAGTAATTTCTGATTATAGAGTATTTAAGTTATTTATAGCGAATTCTTGTACTATCTAAAATCCTCTAAATTTTAGAGGATTTAGTGGTATATAGTAGGTTCTAGTTGTAAATTCGAAAATGCTAGTAGTGTGAAGTAGATTCTAACTTAGTAGTAAGCTAATCAAATTACTACTGGATCCCCTAGATTTTAGAGGATTTATGATAACAATCCTCTGTATTTTAGAGGATTTAGTGGTATATATTTTGTTCTAGTTGTAAATTCGAAAATGCTAGTAGTGTGAAGTAGATTCTAACTTAGTAGTAAGCTAATCAAATTACTACTAGATCCCCTAGATTTCAGAGGATTTATGATAACAATCCTCTGTATTTTAGAGGATTTAGTGGTATATATTTTGTTCTAGTTGTAAATTCGAAAATGCTAGTAGTGTAGAGTGGATTCTAGTAGTAATCTAATATCTTTCCTATTCGGATAGTGGTTTTTAGATACGTTGATTATAATAGAAAATTTAAAAAAAATCCTCTAAATTGACCGAGTTTTCTATTGAACCATAATGAAGGGTATTTTTACATCAATTGTATTTTGTGTTCTTTATAGAATCGAATTTACAAGAAGTAACAAGAGCGTAAATGACAGACTTTTAGGTTATTTTCTTTTTTCATTTTTATTTTATTTTGTCTTGAGGCCTTACGGTTAATTATACCCTTGTTAAATAGATATAATTAACTCTTTTCCTTTTCGTTGACAGTTTTTATGAATGAGGGATCGTTTGTAGCGAACAATAAGAGAAAAATTGGACACTAGTTTCTCTAAATGCAGGCGGTTTACAGAGGGAAAACAACTTAAAATAACAGTTACCCCCTGTTATTTTAACTTTTTTTAATGTTTTATAAGCATAAATGAATCCATTTTAAGAAAGAATCGATTAAAATTTCGGTTTTTTTTTTTAAATTAATAGTGTTATTTTAAACCAAATACCCGAAAATTCGGGTGTTTTAAGCCAAACACCCGAAAATTCGGGTGTTTGGCTTAAAATAACACCAGTTTTTCAGTGTTTTACGTATTGTTTTATGGATTAAAGTATTTCTAGTGTTTCATTTTTGTGTGGCAAAGCGAAATAAAACCGGAAACGGAAGCTGCTAACGATTTTTTTTTGCCAAATATTCGCCTCGCATCCATTACGTCGCGCCGCATCCTCTCGCATCCACTTTTAACACTTTTAAAACAATAATTATTAAGACTTTTAAAAGAAAATATCTTTCTAATGACGAAAATGAACGGAAAAACAAAGCATAAATCTAATAAAAACATCAACAAAGATTAATTAAAAGAGCAGGAACGTCCTTTGAGACCGAGCTAGCAATTATCCAATCCACAGTTCAAGACGAGAATATAGGCTGTGTTAATTAAAGTTTTAACACGATTGGTCCTGTGACACGTTTCTTTCAATCGATAAGAAGTTCATAAAGTTAATCTAAGACCTCTAAGTACATAGAAAAGTTTGAAAGAAAACACACACACACACATACATAGTTTTTAATCATTCTTTCCATAGTTGGCCATTCAATACACATCCGGATTCTGATCATTAATCTAAAGAGGAAGCGGATTAAGGAGTATACTTGCCTTTGATAAGAAGAATTTTCTTTGAATGAGTTTGTCAAAGAAGGTAGCAAACTATATACAGAAGAACGAGGTGACCATTTAAAAAGCACCTTCAATAAAATATCTACATTATCGATCTAACACATGACTTTTTTTAGTACAGAACTAAAAGGTTGAACGTCCTAACAGATGATATCTTGACTTAGAAAAAGCTACAGAAAACTTTAATTTTGATCTATTTATAACAAAACGTTATCTTGTTTATTTTATTTTTTTTATTTTGGGAAAGGGTACCGGTGTCAAAAACAGGTAAACATCCCGGGTGTGCGTATCGGTAAACAAGATTCCATGCATTAATATAATTATTTAACGAATTATCGAGTTTACAGTGCATTAACTCGAGTTATGAATTCGTTTTTCTTTTATATATATATATATATAGTTTTTTTTTTTCGGTGATTTAGCATTGAACAGAAGTGCAGGAACCTCGCTCCAGTGACAAAACAACCGTGGTTAATACAGGCAGGCAATAAGGGAGTGCCCCTGCTTGGTACACTAACTGTTGTTGAACAATAAACGATTTTCTGTAACGTGTCATCATCTAAAATCAAGGTCGATGTTGCTAAACAGAAGGTTTTCCAGATAAGAGAATGCGACCCGTTTTCCGTAAGGAAACATTAACATTAACATATACCTCTTATAATAATAATAATAATAATAGAAAAAAATATATAAGCAGTAAAAAAATCAAAATCCTTTGTTCTACTTGTTATAAAAAAAAAGGGCACGAATTGTTTTGATAATCGATCCGAATTCATCGCGTGTTTGTTTACTGTTATTATAAATCAGTACACTTGTCAAAAATATACCAGGTTTATAAACTCCTCCCCGGTTTTCTGTTATCGATAAAGGTGTGTGTGAAGTATTTATTTTTATGTTTTCTGTCTAGAAAATACAAAAAAAATAAATAAATAGCTTTTATTGTGTTGTGTTCTATGTATAAAATACAATAGACTCTATACGTATACACAGAAAAACGTTTGGGAAGTAATTTAACAATACAGAACACGGCTTTGTTACGTTGTTTTTGTGACGTTTTTATTTGTTGGCGTTCTCCGTTACGCTTGTGATATATGTGTGACGATTGTGTTATGTTGTATGTGTAGTATGCTGAAGTCTATGTTGCGTAGGCTATTATGCTTCTGTCCCGTTTTTGTTTAGTGTTTTCTTATATTATGTGTGTTTTTTTATGCCTATTGTTATGTGTTTTGTGTTCTGTATATATTTAAACGATCTACTCCGTGTTTAAGCTGTGCTTAAGTGCCGTATTTTATGTTTGGTGTGACGTGCTACACTGCTCTATGTTTATACATCTGTTCTATATTTAATGTTTACTCCGACGTCCTTCAAAAAAAAGCTGATGATCTTCGATCGAAAAAGACACAGAAACCTCATCTGATATAAGAGTTTCGATTTAATACGTTTAATCGATTGTGAAAGCGTATTCCTGGAATGGCTACTACTTCTGCATACATCAAGGTGAAAGAGGACAAAGGGGTTCAGAAGGGCAGACAGCTATCATTCGAACTCTGCTCTATGAGCCAGTTGCGGATGAGTGCCTTTGTCCGAAGCTCATTCGATTGTGAAAGCACCAAAATATCAAGAATTTTTTTAAAAACCCGTTTTTGGAATGTCTAGTCGTTTGGGTCACTCAACCTGTATTCGAGAATGGCAATAAGTTACCAGGCGATGCGCGTGTTTGCAAATGTTTGAAACACTTCTACAAGCGTTTAACAGCTGCATTTTGACATTTTTTTTCTTTTTTACTGTAATTTACCGAAGGTACAATTCGTAGAAACCGTGCAAATTGGCCACTTGTGCCACCATCATTGCTATCCCATTTAACTAGGGTATAATTTATGGAGCAGTGGCTCGATTCCCCCTATACACTTTCTACTACATAATAACCTAATAAATAGATATTTTCTAACAATTCAGAAGACGTAAAACTCTATAAGAAAATAATTTATGGAGTGTTTGCGGCGTATCGACCGAGTATAGATCTAATTATTAAAGACTTTTCTATCCTCATAAAAGCCATTCTTCTAACCTTATCTCGGTGATAATGAGCGTGTACTTTATGTCATAAATGTACAGAGCCTAAGAACATTTATAAGAAGCACTTTTACAGCTTACAGAAGCCAAATGTATGCAGCTTACAGTGGTAAATTATATAAAAAACGGCAGAACAAATGACTGAAAACGTCCTTTGTTCTATATCTTTTCTTGTTATTCGGTACTCGAAATGACTTTGGTTGTTAAGAAAGTAGCAGGAAGCCATAGCTTTTTCTTGGCAACGTACAGACAAACGAACTTTCGAAGTGGCTTAACTAGTCGTTTTATATTTGTACTGTTAATCTTCTAATAATAATTATTTAAAAAGAAAGGGGGAAGGGATAAGAGTAATGAGGTGACAAACCATTCAACGTGAAGTATTTCAAACGGGACATTGAACCTGATCATCGTTTCTGCTTGTTTGAAACATTAAAGAAAAAAAAAGTTGACAACAGCAACAATAATAATAATACGTTATACAATTTTATAGCTTAAGAGCATTTTATTTAATTACTTTTAACATTTTTAATTGTTTAAAATGTCATTTCAATAGAAGTAATTAAAGAAAGATTAATAATGTGTCGAAAACTTTAATCGCTAGACCGTGCAGAGGTGGGGGTGGGCACAAAAATACCAAACCCTAGATTTTAGCCAATACCTCCTAATCTTAAAGGTAAATACCCTGCTGTATTAGGTACATAACTGTACTCTCCCCCATAAAAACTTGTCTTATTCCCTCCGCTATGCATACTATTCGACCTTTGACTTTACTCTAGGAAATCGCATCCCGCTAAGTCTTTCCCTTTGCAAATTATGTAGCGTGCTTTCTAGCTTTCACTTACATTTGTTACTGTATTCTAGGAAGCTTAAGTAAGATATTTAGGGGTGCTCTTTCATTACCGAAAGGAAATAATTGCTTGCATCGATACAGTTTAACCGGAAACTCCACTAAATCGTGTAAACATGTTTAAAAAAAAAATATCGCAGATCGCAGCCTTCCTGTCCGGCCGACGTTCTTGCTCGTCACTCAAGCTTGACTCGGTTGCGGTTCACTTGTAACCCATCAAGGAGTATTGTTTTGTACGTTAAAACTATTTACTTTACCTTCTTTTCTGCACAGTATACAAAAGATACATATATAAGTTCCCTACTACATAATATTCCGCTTCCTCATCGTATACACGTAATTAAATATCAATGAAGGGGGGGGAATACGTGCAGAATTTTATTAACCTTCTCTGATTTTTATCGCTTCAATCTATGGAAGTTAAAGCTATGATGTCAAGCGTGAAGGCCGACTCGTTACGATAGAAACGAGAAACTAGGGATTTCTCATCCATGAATCCTTATGATCTATACCGAAATTTAATTTATCTTTTTATAAAATAGTTATAAAATGACTTATAAGTTTGTTTTAATATAAATATAACATTCGATAAAGGATCTAAATGTGTAAGTGGTATTTTCCATTCAAATGGCGGCTTTATATGTTAATCCGCCATTTGCCTGGTAATGTATATAATTAATGATTTTTTTTTTAATTTAAAATTTTACTTGAAATTGAATATTAAGTTAATTTAAAAAAATTATAAATTATGCCCAAGATA